GATGCAAATGACCAGCTGTCTGCAAGGAAGAAACTTCTTGGACGAGAAGCGAAACATCTTCAAGGAAAAAGGAGAAAGTCCAGTTGCCCCTTGAAAAAGCCCCTTTGGGACAACCACGACCTGGATGACTGAGAAGCTCCATAGACAGAGAAACCTTTACGGCTACCGTTACTTGGCAACGGCTGCAAGTGGCGTCGCTTGGAATCGGTTTCCAGAGGCAGGTTGGTATCTTCCCCCATTGACGTTCAACCCATGGAAGAAAAGTTGCCCTCGGAAGTTTGGGAGCGCCATCCCTTGAGACTTTCAAGAGGAGATCGGACTGCCCTCTGTCAAAAATGGTGTAGGGTCTCCCGCTTGGGCAGGGGAGGGTTGGACTAGATGACCTACAAGGTCTCTTCCAACTCTGACGATCTGTTGTCTGTTTGGTGTGCAACCATTCCCAGCTGAGAACACTTGCCGGTCTTCATCGGTTGCTTGCTGAATGTGGATCTGTAGTTGGCGAATTGCCTTCAACCTTCTGTCAGAGAACAAGCAGGTGGATTCTGGACTCGGATAAACCGGGGTGGTTTAAGGACTCTTACCTTGAGCAGGTAAGGATGGGTTAGAAGACCTCCAAAGGCCCTTTCAGCCCTAGGAGCAGGGGTGGACTTCAAAGATTTGAGCAACGGGTTCTCTGCCCAGTTGCTGCGTGGGTGTGGCCAGGGTGGGTCAGCCTCCTGCACCATGATGGGGGTGGGGGGTTCGCCCTCCCTGGGCTCCGGAGGCTCTGGGGACTCCGGGGAGGGGAAGGGAGGGCAGGGAAGGGCCAGCCAGGAGTGAGATTTGGGGGTTCTCTTGAACTGCACAGAATCTTAGGGGCTCTCCCGAACCCCCAGCAGCCCAACCCTGCTAGGTTGATTCTGTGGCTGATTCTCTGAAACCCATTTTGATCTACAGTTTTTTTGCCCAAAAAAAATTAAAACCGGACTTCCACCTTTCTTCTTCCTCTTCCCCTACTTTTACTGTGGCTTTTACTTTCTCCTCTCCGCACCACATGGTGGCATCCGAGGCCTTTAGCTGCCAACCCCACATTCCTTTCACTCGAGGAGGGGAAGGGTTTCATGTGCATCATTTTTTGTGCATTACTTATTCTCCAATTCTTGGCCATCCCCGACAACGTTCTCCCTTTCCTAGATAATTTATGCTAATGTAGAAATCTCCCTGCACCGCCTCTTGACAGCCAACTGAATTGTTTTGCAAGAGAACTCTTCGGGATATTCCTTGGGACCCCCAGAGGTGAGGGGGGAGAGAAAAACCAGGATTTCTACAAACAAACAACCCAAGAGGGATTTTTTTTTTTTCCATCCGAAAGTGACATCGGTGTGTGGATCTTTGTGTCCCAGGCTGCCCTCATCTGCAACATATTTTCCTGCTGGCTGTTTGCCTCTTCCCACAGCCTTTCCTAAAATAAAGGGACGTATTTTATTCAAAGGCTGAAGAAGCCCAGTGATTCCTCACCTAGAAGGGTCCCTTTCTGCTCCCAAGATTTTCTCGAAATCCTGTGCCAAAGGGTGAAGATGCTTGGAGGAAGCAAGTTTTAGAACTGGAGGAACACCGAAGGTCTTATCAGCTTCTGCGAAAGATATTTTTCTCTCTCTCTGTCCAGGAAATCAAGTGTAAGTGCTGAACTTCCTACAACCAGCTCACTAAAAGTTCATCGGGTTTGGAGATCTTGCATTCCTAAAAGATTAAAGGATCCATGAGCCTACTGGATACTCTCAAGTAGCTGAGATTTTTTATTTTTTTTAACTGGATCGAGCCTCTGGGTTTGATCGTTGGGCCTTGCCCATTGTTGACATTCCAGATCTAGGTTGTCTTTGAGGTCTATGGTTCTCTCTGCCAAAGCTTTCCTTCTCTTCCGTTGCACCCTCACCTGCGTTTAGAATTCATCGCCAAGGAAGCGGACAGAGTGCCGAGTTCTCAGGGCAGTCAAAATGTTCAGCTGGATGAAAAAGAATGAGAAGAAGACCCCAGAGGTCATCCGTACGGTTACCGAGGGCTTGAAGGACCTCTACAAGAGGAAACTCCTACCCGTGGAAGAGTTTTATCGCTTCCACGATTTTCACTCGCCGGCTCTGGAAGATGCAGACTTTGACAACAAGCCCATGGTTTTGGTGGTGGGCCAGTACTCCACAGGCAAAACCACCTTCATCAAATACTTGCTGGAGCAAGATATCCCCGGGAGCCGAATTGGTCCTGAACCCACCACGGACTCCTTCATCGCTGTCATGCACGGCGAAACGGAGGGCATCATACCGGGCAATGCTCTGATTGTGGACCCCAAAAAGCCCTTCCGAAAACTCAACCCTTTTGGAAACACCTTTCTCAACCGGTGAGTAACCTCTCCCCCCACCCCCACAATTGTTACCTGTTCCTTTCCCATTGGCCTGATATTTTTCAAGGTCTAGCTTTGAATGGAAGAGTACCCAAGGTTCTGAGCATCCATCATTCCAGAACAGGGCGTTGATTAATTTCAGTATGCCACGTGGCGCTGAACTTGGAAAATGTGTGTGTGTATGTGTGTGTGTGTGTACCGACCACATATGGACAAATTGTACACCCGTAGAACTCTTCTGGTGACCGAGGTAGTATTTCTCTCTCCCTTCCTCCCTGCTTTTAATAAGTTAGATATGGTTGCCTCCACCACTCCAGAATAGAATAATAACACAGTTGGAAGGGACCTTGGAGGTCTTCTAGTCCAACCCCCTGATCAAGCAGGAGAGACTATTCCATTCCAGACAAATGGTTGTTCAATCTTTTTTTTTTTTTTTGAAGACCTCCAGTAATGGAGCACCCACAACTTCTGAAGGGAAGCCATTCCACTGGTTGATTGTCGTCACTGTCGGGAAATTCCTCCTTAATTCTAAGTTGTTTCTCTCCTGGATTCGTTTCCATCCATTGCTTCTTGTCCTGCCTTCAGATGCTTTGAAGAATAGCTTGACTCCCTCTTCTTTGGGGCAGCCCCTCAAATACTGAAACACTGCTATCATGTCACCCCTGAGCCTTCTTTTCTCTAGACTAGCTATACCCAATTCCTGCAACCATTCTTCATATGTTTTGGCTCCTAATCCTCTTGGTAGCTCGTCTCTGCACACTTTCTGGAGTCTCAACATCTTTTTAATAGTGAGATGACCAAAACTGGATGCAGTACACTTAAGTGTGGTCTTACCAAGGCCTTAAAAAGTGGTGCTTTGAAGCATCACAAAACCACACTGTGAAATGGATGAGACCAGGAGACATTGACAGAGCCAAATTGAGCTTTCTGGCTGGGAGGTCTCCACTCCGGTGCCACACCCTAAGTCAGCCTCCCTGACAGCAGCTGTTAAATGGGCTGAGTGGGAGCTGTTATCCCTGTAAAGCTAGAAGACATCAGAGTGGCAAATAGGGCGAAAAGGTGGGCAGGTGACCAGGTAATCAGTACTACATCACCGATGTGTTTTGGGGATCGTAGCATTTGGAGTCCAACACATCTGAAACGCACCTTAGCACCTGAGGGCGTGACAAGTGGCAAGGGGGGGGAGTTGGTCAGAGGGAGATCCAACCTGGACGTAAAGAGGAATTTCCTGGAGGTGAGAATGATTCATCAGCCTCCTGGAATTGTGGCTGCTCCATTGCTGGATATTTCCAAGAACAGACTGGACACCCATTTATCCAGGGTGGTATAAAAACTCCTGCCCTGGGCAGGGGGGGTCAGACTAAAAGGCCTCCAGCGTACCTTCCAGACCGTGGATTCCATGAATAGTGCCAGATTTGGAAAAGGCATTGAACCTAGATGATCTTTCTCTGTACAAAACATCTTCCAGGAAAGAAAAAAAAAACACATTCATATGCCTTTTTTCCCCCTAAAAGTAAAGCATCTTTGGGACCCCCAGAGAATGGAAACCTCTGCGATTTGATGCCTCGGCTTAGTTTCACAAGAGCTCCATTTTTAGCATATTTGTTTAGATAGGCTGGGCCATGCTTCTTCCTCTGTCAAGGCGTTTTGTTGTTTTGTTTTAAACTTCAACTCCACCCTTTGCCCCACTCCAAAAAAAATTGGCAGCTGTTGCTGCCCTTCTTTCTGGCTTTAGCTCTTCCCCCACGAAAAAGACTATCAGCTGGGACTCCAGAATTGGATTTAGACCTAACAAAAGCATTGCAAGAGTTGAAATCTGAAGACTGGAGGAACATACACAGTGGACAGACAGATGTGGTAGAAGGTGAAAAAAAGACAAAAATTGGTAGCATCCTCTTGATGTACAATAGAATAGGGATAGGGATAGGATAGAATAAAATAGGATAGGATAGGATAGGATAGGATAGAATAGAATAGAATAGAATAGAATAGAATAGAATAGAATAGAATAGAATAGAATAGAATAGCAGAGTTGCAAGGGACCTTGGAGGTCTTCTAGTCCAACCCCCTGCTTAGGCAAGAAAGCCTACATCATTTCAGACAAATGGTTGTCCAAGCTCTTCTTAAAAACTTCCAGTGGTGGAGCACCCACAACTTCTGGTGGCAAGTCATTCCACTGGTTCATTGTTCTAACTATCAATAAATTTTTCCTTAGTTCTAAGTTGCTTCTCTCCTGGATTCGTTTCCATCCGTTGCTTCTTGTCCTGCCCTGCTTTGGAGAATAGCTTGGCCCCCTCTTCTTTGGGGCAGCCCCTGAGATATTGGAAGACTGCTATCATGTCTCCCCTAGTCCTTCTTTTCATTAGACTAGACATACCCAGTTCCTGCGACCGTTCTTCATATGTTTTAGCCTCCAGGCCCCTAATCATCTTCGTTGCTCTTCTCTGCACTCTTTCTAGAGTCTCCACATCTTTTTTACATCGTGATTTACTTGTAAATAGAATAGCATGGAATTCTTTATTGGCCAAGTGTGGTTGGACACACAAGGAATTTGTCTTGGTGCAAATGCTCTCAGTGTACATAAAAAGAAAAGATACATTTATCAAGAGTCAAGAATCATCAGGTGCAGCACTTCATTGTAGTCATAGGGTACAATAAGCCATCAAATCATACTAGGAAACAGTCAGTATAAATTGTAAGGATACAAGTGATAAAGTTACGGTCATACAGTGACAAGTGGGAGGGGATGGGCGATAAGGAGTGATGAGAAGATTAATAGTAATAATAGTGCAGACTTTGTAAATAGTTGGACCGTGTTGAGGGAATTATTTGTTTAGCAGAGTGATGGCGTTCGGGGAAAAACTGTCCTTGTGTCTAGTTGTTCTGGTGTGCAGGGCTCTATAGTGTTGTTTTGAGGGTAGCTTTTTGTCCTGTCCTCAGGTGCTTTGGAGACTAGCTTGACCCCCTCTTCTTTGTGGCAGCCCCTCAAATACTGGAATGCTGCTATCCTGTCTCCCTTGGTCCTTCTCTTCCCTAGACTAGCCAGGCCCAGTTCCTGCAACCGTTCATCGTAGGTTTTAGCCTCCAGACCCCTAATAATCTTAGTTGCTCTTCTCTGACCTCTTTCTAGAGTCTCCACATCTTTCTTACATCGTGGCGACCAAAACTGAATGCAGTATTCCAAGTGTTTTCATAGCTTTCAATTTTAAAAAAAAAAGATTTTTTTTGGCAGCGTACTCTGATATCTTCTCGCTGCCCCTGAAATAATGAGAAAGAAAAATCAGAATTATTAGTCTGCTACTGCTGGGCTCAAGGAACTGCAGGCCCCACCGTTGAGACCGGAGGCCAGTGCCAAAATTCCTGGGAAGCTTCAGCCCCGCTAATAAAGAAAGAACAGCTGCTTGTGGGGCAACGGAGGAGGAGGAGGAGGAGGAGGAGGAGGAGCAGGGTGGCTCTTTTCCAAAATGCAGAACTGAGATCCATCTCATCTGCCTGAGGTCGCACTGTCAAAGGGGAGGAAAGCAAAAACTGGCAGATGAAGCTGCAAAGGAAAAATCGGAGAGTAACTGAGTGGGAAGGGACCTTGGAGGTCTTCTAGTCCAACCCCGCTGCTCAGGCAGGAAACCCTACACATTTCAGACAAGTGCTTGTTCAATCTCTTTTTAAAAACCTCCAGTGTTGGAGCATTCACAACTTCTGGTGGCAAGCAGTTCCGCTGATGAATTGTTCTCACGGTCAGGAAGTTTCTCCTGAATTCCAGATGGTTTCTCTCCTTGCTTAGTTTCCATCCGTTGCTTCTTTCTCCTGCATTCAGGTGCTTTGACCCCCCCTCCTCTTCTTTGGGGAAACCCCTCAAAAATACAGATGGTCCTCAACTTACAACCACTATGGAGCCTTAAATTTCTGCTGCTACGTGAGACATTGGTCCAGTTAGGGGGTTTTTTTGCCCCATTTTGAAGACCTTTCTTGCCTGATTTGATCGAACTTTATTAAGCCTCCTCCTCTTTTTATTCCAGCTTGGAAAATAACTCCATATGTGGTTGTCATTATAATGATGTTTGCTGGTGTGTTTATTGCCTGCATACCCTGCCCCAATCCCAGGGGGACTGTTGATGGTTTTAGAGCAATACACAGATGACTAAAGCATTCACCCTCCCTTTAAAAATAGATTCCTTAAAAACAGATTTATTTATTCGTTGAGAGAGAATTGATAGGGCCACCCAACTCACTCACATTCACTGACTCACTCCGAGCTGCTTACAACGATAAAAACCCCACTACACAAAGCAATGCACCCTTCCCCACCATCCTGGCGACAACAGTTAGATCAAATATTTGATGGGGGGGGTTCCATCTCATGCTGGGGACCCCAGGCCCATTGGCAGAACCATCCCTTCAGGACTTTTGCAAAAGAAAGTGGGGGCCGATCTAAACCTTGGGGTGAAGGATGAAGTTTATTTATTGACTTATTTAGTGTTTATTCATCCATTTATTTAGTATTTATTTGCTTGTTTGTTTAACGACCGTGTTTCCCTGAAAATAAGACCAGGTCTGATATTAATTTTTGCTCCCAAAAATGCATTAGGGCTTATTTTCTGGTCAGGTCTTATTTTGGGGGAAAATACGATTCCAAATCCATTCGTCTGGTTGACAATCTTAACGGGCTTATTTTCGGGGAAGGGCTTATATTATGAGCATCCTGAAAAATCATGCTAGGGCTTATTTTCCGGTTGGGTCTTATTCTGGGGAAAATACAGGTCTAAATGCACCCCTCTGGCTAGCAATCTTAACTGGGGCTTATTTTCAGGGAAATACAGTTGCATCCATCGGGCTGACAATCTTAACTGGGACTTACTTTCAGGGTAGGGCTTATATTACGAGCATCCTGGGAAAAATCATGCTAGGGCTTATTTTCCGGTTGGGTCTTATTCTCAGGGAAACAGGGTATCCAAATTGTATGCCACCCATCTCGTCAACGGTGACTCTAGAGCAGGAGGGGGTCAACCTCAGATTTCATTGAGGGCCGCATCAGGGTTGAGTTTGACCTCAGGGGGCCTGGGTGGGCGTGGCTGGGGTGGCCATGGACAGCTTGATGTCACTCGTGTCAGGGGGGCTCCTGTGGTGGACTGAGTGCTCTGCCAGCGAAAACGGGCTCCCGAGCTGCAGGCCGCATCCACATACACACCGGGGCCTTGAGTTTGACACCCCCCTGCTCTAGAGTCTAGGCGGCTCAGAGGCTTTGAATAAAACGGAACAAATGGAATTTGACTCCATGCTTTTCTTTCTCTGTAGGTTTATGTGCGCTCACTTGCCCAACCAGGTGCTCGAAAGCATCAGCCTTATCGACACACCGGGGATCCTGTCAGGAGCTAAGCAGCGGGTGAGCCGAGGTAAGGTAGAAGGTGGTGGGAACCTGCCCAGGTTCCTCCTGTCCCCATTGGAGAACGTGCCTTTTCTTCAGCCTTGAGATGTTGGGGTTCAAGGCCAGTCGTCAAGGTTCCAAGTAATCTGTCCCTGGAATAAAAATCCAAGGCTGTCCAGTTCAGGGCTGGGACATCTGTGGCCCTCGACGTGGTTTAGAATTGCAGCTCCTGTCGTTCCCAACTCTTGACGTGCTAAGTCATATTTGATTTAGACCAAGATTTGCCAAGCTATGTAAGGCAGAGTCCTTCCACAATGAGCCAGAAGCAGAATTACATGTGATTGTATTCATTTTCTGTATGTATCTATATCTATATCTATATCTATAATCTATAATCTATAATCTATAATCTATAATCTATATCTATAATCTATATCTATATCTACCCTGTTTCTCCAACAATACGGCCTCCCCCAATAGGAAGTCCCAGCATGTTTTATAGGCATGAAATGAAATTAAGCCCCTCCCCCCAAATTAAGGCCTATATTAAAACATGCAAAATGGGGGGGAATGGTGGGGGGGCTTGCCGTTAGGAAGTACTTTTGTTGCACACCCGGATATGGTGCTGCCTGCGTTGACCCCGATATGAAGTGCCCCACCAATGCCGAGGTCAACATCCAAGCCCGCCTGAAGATGCAAAGAGGGGGAATTAAGTCACCCCCCAAAAGATGGCCTAGCCATTTTTTCGGGGCTCAAAAAAAAAAAAAAGACCTGGCCTTATTATATGAGAAACACGGTATATCTATATCTATATCTATATCTATATCTATATCTATATATATACACACACACACACACACAGAGTATATATCCCCTTTTTCTCCATAAATTCCCCTCCTTTCTAGCACTCCTTCTCCTCCTCCTCCTTTTTCCCTTTTTCCTTTCTCCTCCTACTTTCTCCTCTTCTCATTCTTCCCTTTTTCCTTTCTCCTTCCTCTTCCTCCTCCTCTCTCTTCTCCTTCTTCCTTTTCTCCTCTTCTTCCACCTCCTCTCTCTTCTTCTCCTCCTCCTTCTCCTTCTTCCCTTTCTCTTTCTCTTTCTCTTTCTCCTTCTTCTTTCTCCTCTTCCTCCACTTCCTTCTTCTCCTTCTCCTTCTTCCCTTTCTCCTCCTCCTCCTCCTCCTGCTCCTCCTCCTCCTCTTTAGCTTCGGGATGAGGAACTTTTAGAACCTTTTAGAACCTCAACTCACAGCAGTCTTCAGAGTTGTAGTAAAGTTGTATCTGAATGGTCACTGGTTCTTGAACAAAATCCCTGGGCCTCCGAAGCTTGAGAATCCATCCATCCTGCAAATATGTTTGGCCTTCTCTCCTTCTCCACTAATTCACACATGTCTGGAGTGTTCTTGACATCTCTGGGAATGTGAATAGCCCACCTCAGAGCCTCGTCTCTCTGTGGAGTCCCTTTCTCTCCCTTGCACATTCTGTTCCCACTCAAAACAGCCTTTGCAGCAGCTTCATACCCGCCTTTACTAAATATTTCCTTACCCGATGTGATTTTTTATTTTTTTTTACCCACGGAATCGTTTTAATAATAACAGAATAACAGAAATGGAAGGGACTTTGGAGGTCTTCTAGTCCATCCCCCTGCTCAAGCACAATAACAGAATAATAACTTCAAGTGGAGCGAACAAGTACACCTATGTTCTAGCTGTGGCCGTTTCAGGTTTTGAGCCTGCCAAGAGTTATGGGTAGGGTCATCCCGTTTTGGAAAAAAAAAAAAAAGAATTAATGGAAGCAAGCGAGAATAAGCTAAAAATGAAATGTTTACTTGTTTCAGCACGTCACGAGTGGCATGTTTGTTGCATTAACGAAATCCATTGGATGCAGTGATGGTTAAGTCTCTTTTTTTTTTGCTCGCTCACTTTCTGTTTATGTTCTGCTTGGAGCAATATAGATTTGCCCAGGGAAGGAAACTAACTGCACATAAATCAGAGCTGAGTAAACATTCAGCCTAATCTTTACATCAGCTGCTGCTTCAATTGTCCAGTTCCTTGTTTGTTAACTTAAGCTTTCCAGGAGGAATATAAAATGACCCTTTTAAGAGAAATATAATACAGTGTTGTGACTGACCGTGTTGGGATGTTAAACTTGTTTTACACCAGTTGTACGCCAAGGAGCAAGCAGAATAGTTAAAGGTACTAAGTGTCTCCTCGGTTTGTGAGTCACCCAACAGTTTTCTGAGAAAAGTCAGAAATGAATAGTGGATACAGATTTACAAGAGCAGTTAGGACAGAGGTCTAGTGTTGAAAGCACTAAGCTAGAAGCTAGGAGACAGTGAGTTCTAGTCCCGCCTTAGACATGAAATCTGACTGGGTGACTTTGGGCCA